CTATGTTGCAGGTTATATTTTTTAAAAAATCAGCATGGAGAAAATTGCACTTTCTAGAATGTGGCTAGAATGAAGCTAGGTTCCTTGTTGGAGTACAAAAGTCTGAGAAGACTCTGGAATTTTATGCAAAACAGAGAGAGAGAAAGAGAGAGAGAGAACACATATGTGTAACCACACATTCAGGCATGTTTACTGATCTATTACTTCCGTCTGTTTTTCAGAGGGGCCCACAATCTAGAGAGAGTTTGAGACTTCTTGGAGAGCAGGAGGTATAGATATGATCTGACTAATATGAGAGCACAAGGAGAAGGTTGGCCGCCACCTTGGCCATGTTGTGGGGAAGTGGTTGTATGAAGATTTGCCTGACAAGAGCCCAAACCACCAAGCCACACAGGAACAAACACTCAGACCAACACCCAGTGCTATGTCTGCAGAGACTTCATGAGTAGGACAGCTCTGGATAGAGATGAAGGGTGTAGGAGTAGACTATGTGACTTCATGCATAATACAAGAGATTAAGAGCCAGGTTTTGCAGCCCTATAAGAACAGTGGCTCCCAGGTGGGACAGGAAGAAGGGTGGCCAGCAATGGGGTGGGGTTTTCCATGGATGGAGACTTCCTTTGCTGGTGATGGAGAGGTGCAAATGCAGAGGATCTTGAGAGCTACTGAAGAGGGAGCCTTCATAATGATATTTAGGACCTGACTGTCCATCAACTCGACTGTACAGAATGGAAAAGGAAAGGGCAGGAAACTGAGACCTTGGTTTAGGCCAGTTCCTGGTCAGCCCCTTGTCTATTTCTAGCTATAATGTCTATTTCCCATGGAAGAGGAAGCTCACCTACTCCACGCCCCCCCCTCTTCCCTGAGTTGCTGAATAGTGCACAAGAGAATGCACCCACAGATCCATAAGCAACTGTTAGCTAATTGTTAGGTACTATTGTGATCTTGAGTGTTTATTTCCTTTATTTCATATTGCTCAAGTCTCAACTTAAATAGAAACTTTTCATGGAGGCTTTTCTCTAACTCCAAACTGTATTTGGCTCCTGTCCCACCATCTTAGGGTATCCTGTGATTCTCATGGCTATAACGAAACCGTGTGTGTGTGTGTGTGTGTGTGTGTGTGTGTGTGTGTTCAGTGTCTGAACCATTAGACTGTCTTCCCCAAGAAGGGCAGGAAGGGCTATCTCTGTGTCCTTGGAAGCCACCTTCATTTACCTCTGATACTCTACTCAAGCCCCCTACTCCTACCCCCCACATGGAAAAAACCACACTCACTCATTTGCCTAGGTCAACAACAGCAACAAGAAGTCTCTGAAGGACATGAAAATGAAAAGCACACCACTCCCTGGTGACCCCACCCGCCACCGCCTGCACTGTCCTCCATCTGGGCAACTTCCACTGGGGCTATGCACTGATGGGCTTCCTGGGAAGACTCAAGGTGTCAGTCTGATGTCACTGGTAGCGCCAGTGAGCAGGCTGCACATATGCCAAGTCTCTGGCCAGTCCCCTGTAGGACTGGAGAGTTGGTGCTATTGTCCTGTGAGAGACCACATAAGGCCATAAGGGACAGAGAAAAAGTGCTATGGGGTAGGCGGAGCGTCAGGGAAGACTTCAGAAGGTGAAACTGATCTGGATATAGACGGAAACATTTGTAATTAGCTTCCCAAGAGGAGGCAAGAGGAGCGGGGGTCTGAGCTGGAGGGCAGGAGACCTTGGCACCCATGCTTATGGACATGAATCTTCACAATAGGGCAGGGGCAGTTCTGCAGGACTCCAGTGATGAAGCAGCTCACTTAGATTTCCTCTTTTCATAATCACCATTTAGGGAAGAGATTAGAAGCAGGAGGCCCATTGAGGCCAAGCTCTTATGCCCAGCCTAACAGCCAATAATGGACTTGGGAGACTCTAAAAGATTTATTTTTGCTCCATGCCATAAAAATCAACTACCTTCCCCATCTGTTAGTCCTTCTCTTCTCTTGTGCCTTGTTACAACCATGTCTTCCTTATCCAAATGATCAGAAGAAACTAGCCTAGAGGTGACCAGAGACAGCTAACGTCTGTGGAAGTACAAGGCATATGCCTGACACCTACGGGAGGCCACTCAAGCTTTGTCATCTCTGGATAAGAGCACCTGCCAGAGGCAACCCAGCTCTGGCAGTAGCGGTGGCTTCAGCCCTCAGTTTCCTTGTTTGTAAAGTAGTGATGAAGGATGTGGATATCTCAAAGTGTGGCTGTGAAGGTTAAAAGACACACAGTCATTGCTGGGTTCTAGTGACTCATGCCTGTCATCCTAGCTACTCAGGAGGCTGAGTTCTGAGGATTGCAATTTGAAGCCAGCTTCAGCAGAAAAGTCTGTGAAATTCTTATCTCCAATTAACCACCCAGAAGCTAGAATTGGGCAGTGGCTCAGGTGGTAGTGCCAGCCTTGAGGGGAAAAAGCCAAAGGACAGTGCCTAGGCCCTGAGTTCAAGCCCAGTACTGACACAAAAATAAAATCAAAATGGAAAGAAACCAAAACTCCCAAATATCCATTGTAATACATACCATTATTTTGTGTGTCCATTATAATTGTAAGACATCATAGCAAAATACATTCATCTTTAAATTGAGGACATATCTTTATATGTAACAGATGTCTTCTATAGCTGTGTAAGCCCAGGGGAGTCTCTCCTCCCATCTATATGAGAGACTCACTAATCAAGCTAGTCAAGTGCTCTACTACTGAGCTGCATAGGTACAGGGTGTGGCACAGTGGTACAGTGTTTGCCCTCAAATGCAGAGCCTTGGATTTGTTCCCCAACCCTGCATGGGTGGGGGAGGGGGAGAGGAGAAGATCATATACCTCTCTTTTGGCTTGTTGGTGCTCATTCTGTTGCATCATTCTAGAAACTTCCTCCATGCATTGATTTAGAATTTCAGTTTACCAGTCGAAGCAAAAAAAAAACCCCAAACACCCAAAACAATAACAACAAAAAAACAAAACACCAAAAAACCTCTTACTGGGTCACAGGAGTTCTATACGACTAGCCATTTCAATCACTTGGATTGAGATTCTTGGAATGAATGCCATATCAGCCAATTTGACTGCTCAACTGAACTCAAGCTGAGGCTTCCAAGCTTTCAGCTACCCAGGCACAATTTTGCATCTCAGCCAAGAGCAGGTCTCCAAGCAGTACATTTCTGATTATAGATGATGGAGCAGCTTCCAGCAGCCAGGGCCCACAGGGTCCACCTCCTCTTCTCATCCTTACACCCCAGCCAGCCTCTTACCTACTTTTTTTTGGTGCTGACACTGGGCCTTAAACCTAGGACATGGGTGCTCTCTCTTAGCTTCTCCCCCTTTAAAGGCTGGCACTCTCATCACCTGAGCCACAGCTCCATTTTCCGCTTTTTGCTGGTTAATTAGAAATAAGAGTCTTATGGACTTTCCTGCCCAGACTGGTTTCAAACCAAGATCTTCCGATCTCAGCCTCCTGAGTAGATAAGACTACAGGCATGAGCTACCAGCACCTCGCTTCTCATACTTGCTGTCCAGCACTACCAGGGAGCTTCCAATCTGATGACTTTCAACAGAAACAAAAGCCAGTGGGTAGGAAAGAGGGAGGGAAAGATAGTCTGCTTCCATAGCAGTCTGGGGAGGGAAGATAATGGATCATTCCTGACCTAAACTGCAGATGAGAGGAGATGGGTCCCTAAAATCCCACATAAGTTCATTACACAAAGGCCCTAAGACTTCCTGCCCTCCACCCTGGGCCTGGCTACTTGTCATTCGAAAGGTAGAGGAGGGTGTATATTACAAAGCAGAAAGAGCTTGACCATCCAAAATTGTCTTCTGCAGGTCCTAAGTGCAAATCTTCAATGCAGAGCCCACACTGAGGAAGCTAGGAGGAGCTACATGGCCGCTCTGGGTTTACAAACACCCAGGATGCAGCTGTTTGCATCACACATGTCACCTGTCATCTTCCACACAGACCTGGTTTGTGGAGGAGACTGAGGCTGGTAGAAGTAGAAAGAAGCTGAAGGCCTCACCGCTGTAACTCGGGTCCCTTTTCCACGTCCCCTTGTGCCTTGTTACAACCATGTCTTCCTTATCCAAATGATCTTAGTGCCATCACTTTAAGGAGCTTATTCAGTTTTTGAGAAATACACATTCTAGATGTCACTCCTGGAGTGCCATGCTGTTGGTCTGGGACAAGCCTGTGCTTTAACAAATGCTTTAGGAGAACAGCTCAGCTCTGGGAGGGAATCAGCAAGGAGAGAGAGAGAGAGAGAGAGAGAGAGAGAGAGAGTGTGTGTGTGTGTGGCTGAGAAGACCGAGCAGCCCCTGGGAGGGAGGAAGAGGATGGCCATCCAGCAGAATCCTCCAGGCAGACTTGGCCTACTTTTAGCCCTCCTTCACCCTTCACCCACCCCTCCTCTCTGGAGGAGGCTTAACTCTATACCACATCCTGCTGCTTTCATCTCGCCTTCCTTTTCCCTCTGAACAATCTCCTTCCTCCTACTGTCCCTGAACTTCTTGCGTTTTTGTCTTTGATGGGTCAACCCCCGCCCAGGCACAGCGCACGCGCAAACACATGTATACACACGCATCCACACTCAGGGGACGCGCACCAGCGTGCAAACCCAGATCCCCTCAGCGCGAAGTGTGTGAACCTCTAGCAGGGAGGGGGGGGGAGGATCCACGTTCACTAGCAGGGGGCAGCCTGGAAATACTCCTCCTTCCCTCCCCCCCACCAGCCACTTTCAGGACGCCCACATCCTGATGGCAAAGGATCGACCCCTCATGTCGATGCTGCCCAGAGGGTTTCGAGATGGACAGGGCCAGGCTCCCGATCCCAAGGCCCAGGGTCTGGAGGTGGTGCCCAAGGCTAATTAGGTCCTGGGGATGCCCGGTCTGTTTCCAGGACGGCGTGACCCTCCGAGCCCGCCGCTCCCCGGAGGTCCCCAACTCGCCACGGCTGTGCCCTTGGTGCCCCACCCGGCCACCCAGACACACGCACCTGCAGAACCCGCCGGGCGCCGAGCCCCTCTCCAGCGGCGACGACCTGGACCACGACTCCACGGCTGGGGCCGGGCAGCTGGTTCCCAGCATCTGCCCGACCGGCCTCCGCGGGCTGGGGGCGTGGCCTGCGGATGGGCGTGGCCGAGGGGGGCAGACCCGCCAACGAGGCGGGGCCAACACTTATTCTAGGGGCGGGGCGGGGACAGACCCCACCAATGAGGCGGGGCTTGCTGGAAGTGGGACGGGACCCGGCGCTGGGCCGGCCTCTTCCCGCCACCTTGCGGCGGCGCAGTCAGGTGCAGCTGGTGCAGCAGGTGGGGCAGGTGCAAGCAGCGGCGGGCACGGCCCGGGAATCCCAGGACTCAGAGCCTCTGGTCCCCGCCGGCCCTCGGGAGGAACAGGCGACAGGCGCCGTCCTCTGCATCGAGGCGCCCGGAGGGACGCCCACCCCCGACATCACGACCCCCCCCCGGAGTAAGGCGAGGGGTCGGGGGGGGTGAGGAAGAGCAGATGTCGGAGGGGAGAGCTGGGGAAGCTTGAGGTGGGGGCTTCGGGGAAGGAGGAGAAAGAGGAAGCTCGGATGAGCTGTTTCCTCCTCTCACTGCGACCCAGCGCCCCACTTCCTCCTCCAAGTTCTATTTTCTTTGGGGTGCATTTAACCCTTAAAATGCCCGCATTGACGCTTGTGCCAACGACTTGACATCTTGACCCCTCCCCCCTTCCCCGGCTCACTCGTAGGTAGGAACCTTCTAGAAATCCCTAGCCAGTTTAGGTTGCTTTTTTTTTTTTTTCAGCCCTGGACCTCCCACAGGGTCGGCTTCACTTTAGCTGGGTTCCATTGCCCGCCCCTGGTAAGAGGTAGGCATCCCAAACCGGCCAGAAGGACGTGGTGTTAGTGTTGGGCAAAAGCCGCAGCCCTGTCTGAAACTTTGAGAGATGTCAACACCAAAGGCTTTTCTTTCCTGACTCCCTAAATACCAAGAAAAAGTAACTTCCTCCCATGGGCAGAAACAGAAAGTCCCCTTAGACAGGCACAGAAGAACTGGTTCCAGCCTGTCCTCAGTGATGGGAAGGGCTCTGTGCCCACCAGGTACCTCTCCTACTCTTCCCTGCAATCCTCACCCCACCTTCACCCCTAGGACCTGTGTCACAGAAGGGAAGGCACACAATTTGGTAAGAGTGGACAAGGTCTCCCTCTTTGTCTCCCCAGCCCCTACTTGGAGGAAGAGGAGAAAAGTAGAAAAGCCTGGAGGTGGCTGGGGTAGGGAGGAAGAGACAGTACTACCCTGGAATCAGAAATCTAGGAGGCTAGAGTAACGAGGTGTGACAGATCAAAAAGTTGGATGAAGAGAGAACTCTGTGTGTGTGCATGTGCATGCACGCATGCGCTCACGTGCTCTTATCTGGGCTTTGAACTCCGGGCCTCACACTCTTGGCTTTTTCTTTTTCTTTTTTTTTTTT